CAAGATCCTGCTCCTCACATTTAAAGCCCTCAACAATCAAGCCCCTTCATATATCAAAGACCTGATACACGACACTGTACTATCCAAATAGATCACTTCGTTCCTAAAACACAGGCTCTCTTGTTGTTCCAAGAGTCTGTAAGATTAGAACATGACGTAGAGCATTCAGCTACCAGGCTCCTCTCCTATGGAACCAGCTCCCACTCTGGGTTCTATGGTCAGACACCATCTCTGCATTTAAAGTTAAACTTAAAACATTCCTTTTTGATAAAGCCTATAGTTCTGGATCAGGTGAGTCCTGAACCATCCCTTAGTTATGCTGCTGTAGGTCTAGACTGCTGGGGGAACTCCCATCATGCACTGAGCACCTCTCCACTTTATTTATTTTAATACATGTCAATGACTATTTCACTTTTTCCTCCCATAGTCTCTCTCTCTCTTTTTCTCTCTCATTTCAGATATCTCTGACCCCGGAACCTCAGGACAACAACTATGACCATTATTACTATTATTACTTACAATACTTCAGTAATTAATTATTATATGAAGTGTGCCTGTTATCAATAATAACTAATAGTCTTTACACTGTTATTGTTTACATTTTAACTAGTCAGATCTGATACCTGATGGTGCTTAAGTGTTCCCGGTCTCTCTCGCCTCTCTCTCTCCCCCTCCTCCCCCTCCCCACTATTACTCTCTCTTCTCTCCCCTCTTTTCCACCCATTTCTCCTCTCCTCCCCTTTTTCTATACTCACCCCAACCGGTCGAGGCAGATGACCGCCCACATTGAGTCTGGTTCTTCTAGAGGTTTCTCCCTGTTAATGAGGGAGTTTTTCTCTCCACAGTCATTGTGGGAACTGTTGGGTTTCTCTTTATTATTAATATTTTAAGGTCTTGACCTTCTATGTAAAGTGCCTTGAGATAATGTATATTATGATTTGGCGCCATACAAATAAAACTGAATTGAATTGAATTAAAACAAAAAAAACAGCTTGTTTTTGGACCAAATAGTTCCAGGTAGCACAGAATTTAGATTAGGAACCAAATAATTCTCTTGTGCAAACCTATCTGTTTCCACAGCCTCGTAACGCCACGATGGGGCACAACAAAAGCACAGAATCATTATGGCTGCAGCTCTGTCATTTAGCACCTCACTAGTTTAGCAGTGGTTTAATGGGTCCAACCCTATTTGGAAACCAATGCAGGTAAAACCGCAGATCAGCCAGATGGGACGATCTAGCATTTATGCTCATATGCTCATCATCCCCTTCGATTATTATCACACGCTCAGCAATTAACCTTTATGAGCAGCGGTGAAAGCTTTTTTTCAGCCCCAGTTTTTGTCTCACAGGTAATACATAGTGTGCTTCATCTTTTCAGAGGAGGTTGTTGTTGCTGATGTCTAAGGAAGTCGACGGCAGACATGTGCAATAAAGATGGAAATATAACATTCTCACAATCTGTGTGATCATAGTTAGCACATTAAAAATAGTGAATTAATTTTCATCATAGTTAAGCAAACATGCACCCAATAACCAAATACTTCTGTTATGTACTTTTAGTACTTAGTATTTTAAATTGTATATCAAGACTTTGTTCCTAATATCAATTCAAACATTTTTTGGCACCCAGATTTTCATAACTGTATGAGTGAGGTTCTAAACATTCAGCCAAGAGGCTCACATCTAACCAATGTAGTCCACCTAAATGTTACCTGGGCGGCTGCTGCAACACAGGTTTGATTCTGGCTTGCATCCCTTTGCTGTGTTTCATCCCCCTCTCTTTCTCCCCTTTTCACATTTTAACTGCCCTATCAAATAATTCAATGAATTGTTCATATGATCTCCAAAACAGGGACTTTTCTGGGACCACAACATTAGATCTAAAGTTAAGGTTGCTCAGGTCCAGAGGTCTGAAAATAATTCTTGTGTTCTTAGAAAAGGGACAAATTCTGAACAGTGCTGCGGAAGTTTTAGCTTTGTCTTTCATGGTCTCTGAGTTTTCTGCCTCTACCCCAATAGTGGTGAGGTGAATAGAATTTTTGTTCTCACAGCGTTGAATCCTCCATTGTGCTGTGGCGGAGCTGGCGATTTCAGAAACCGATACCTCAAGAGGAAATTTCTTTGAGCAATTTAAGTGAACTGACCCCTTAAACAAATTTCTAAGAGCAGTTTTCCATTCGCCATGTTAATGCTCTTTCACAAAACAGTTTTTTATGTTTTCTGTTGTACTTCTTGCTTATCAACAATGCTGAAACATCCCCTCACAGGCGCGCGTCTCAATTCTTTGCTTGGAATGGAACAGTAATAGAATACTGTGTGATAGCAGATTGCATGACCATGTGTGCATGCGTGCGTGCGTGTGTAGAGATATTGCTGCAGATGGATAATAAAGCAATCTGTTTCTGGATCTTGTAATCTAAAGCACTCCTCATCTCCAGCCCTCCCTCCCTCCACTGCTCATCTCCCATCTCATCCCCACCAAAATTAGATTGGAGAAACGGGGTACGGCTGCCGTTGCCGTATATGTGTGTGTCCAAGTGCATGTGGATATGCATAGTGAATGCACGTGAACACTTGTATTTGTGTGTATGTGAAGCCGTTTTCTTTCCTTCTTTCTCCTTTTCTATCTCTTACGTGCACACACACGCAAACTTCCTGCCCATTATCATGCATTAACATTATCACTGCATGTTCTGCTTTATTTGGCTTCCATCCTACCAATCCTGAATTGTGACCATATATCCAGCTGTCTGAAATGACTTATTGATTTTTGCTCCCCCATTTCTCCTTCCGGTCCCTCCTCAATTTGTTCACCTGTTACTCTGGGGTGTCTTTGCCAGATAAAGGGATAAGTCATCTTGCAGTGTTGTGGGACATGGCGTGTGCACAGAATTAATAGAGGAACCACCCTGTTTGAGAAGAAAACCATTTCTCTTCGTGGTGAGCTTGATGTTAATGGCTGCTTTGTATGACGGGAAAGACAAAATGAAGACGGATGCTGTCAGTGGAAATGGGAGATGAGAAAACATTTGCTGATACCAAAAAATATATAATGATACCCATAATCTGTGCTGTCTAATTTCAATCTCTTAATTAGCCAACTTGAACATAATGACCCCAGGGAAATACAATATGCATATCATCATTTATCAGAGTGAGATGAGAAGATCAATGATTTTGAGGCTGTGTGTGAAGATGAACTGAAGAATTTAGCATTGTCTAGCTTGCCATGGTAGTTAGCTCTAGATCTGAGGACACCATGGATCGGCATTTGACTCCTCTAACGGTGCAATGAACAGTATAGAAGGATCAATGTAGAGGAAACCAAAGAGTTTTTTTATTCCATGCATCTATCTTCTTTCCTAAGGTTCCTCCACTGCCCACAATGCAACTTGAATGCTGACAATTTGAAGAGTCTGGTATTTTACTGGTTGATGTAGCCTCAAGGCGCTAGCCATAATGAGATTTGAACTATGGGGGTCTGGTGAGCGCATTTTAACAACACACACACACACACACACATAGATATGACTTTACAGAACAGGCCCAGTGTTACGCTGAAGTCTGACAGCCTGCTGAGAACTGTATAGCTGCTTTCAGACATGCACTGAACTACGGAGATCCTCCAGACATTCTCTGGAGCGGCTGTATGTGTGAACACAAATGTCAGAGTGAGAGCTTCCAGACTCCAATGTCAGAACAAAGCAGGAGATCGTCAAGAGGATTCAGCATAAGCAAATGGGTTTGTTGAAAATGCTTCTAACCCACGATAGATGCAAAAATGAAGAAAATTAAACATCCTCTGGAGGTCATGTCCAAAATGTAATGTTTGTCATGTGAACGGGCTCAGTGGAAGTAATATACAAAATCGCATTAACAAACTAATACATCTTGTTTTGCAATTACAAAACGCACCTGACAAACAAATACACTACATATTTCTAATAAAAAATGCTTCACAAACAAATAGCTAAATCACAAAAACATTATCCCACAAGTACAAAGAAATTTGGCCTACATGTACAAAAATGTATTGTCTATTATTAAGTACAAAAAATATTATTTTGTACAGAAAGTAGTACAGAAATAGATGTACAAGTACGACACAAAACATATAACCTGACTTTTGTGACGATTTTTCCGCCGCCACGCTGAGGATTTTCTCACAAATGTCCTGAGTAATTCTCCCCCCAAGTCACAACAGCAGGTGGCGCTGTGAGCCAATTTACAGGCACCAGGAAGTGAAGGGTCAAGAGATTGACTCTTCACTTCCTGCTAACTTGACAGACTGATATCATTCATCTCATCCGCCTCTTACAAAGACAGAGAAAGAAAAAGTATCAGTCACAAACTACTCTTTCTGGCATATGCAATCTAACCTTTGCAATGAGTCAACACATCTATGCACTTGTGGTTTTGGATCCAGAGCTGTATATAAACAGCAGCATTATGTATACATGACTTTCAAGTCCTTCATCCCTCTTGACATTTTGTCTCCGGTCTTCACTGAAGCTACATTCTGCTTATAATAAATGATATATTCAAACGACTGTTCCAGCTGGATTGTTCTATACACATTCCACTGCAGTTCAAATTTACATATTTGGCATATTCAGAAAGAAAGAATTTAAATAAAGTTCAGAGGTTCTGAGCAACCATTCTGATTTATAGCTCAGCAAGAACATTTATCATGGTTTAAGTTTTTTCAAAGACAGAAAAGTTCATATGGCCAAAAGATAAAATTATAAATAATTATGAATTTATTATCAAAGCTATGGACATGGAATTAAATTCAAAATAAAACGTGTGTCTGTGTGTGTGTGTACTTTCTGACCCACTTGTAATGTGTAGTTTCTGGGATCAGACTTGGTTTTGGGGTTAGAATTATGTTTAGGTTGAGGTTTGTCAGGCATTTAGTTTTGATGTTCAGGTTAGGGTAAGGGGCTAGTGAATGCATTATGACAACTAAGATAGATGTATGTGTGTGTTTCTCTGTACCTTGGTTAGTGTCGAAAATGTTAACATTCTTGGTGAACTTGGAGCTCTGGTGTCCTCCTCCTTGACGCAGTCCTCCAAGCAGACAGAGCCTCCCGGCTGTGTCCCATATCACACCACCATAGGACCGTTTACAGGGCATCAGGGGCAGCGTTGTCCAAGAGCGTGTCTCTGCATCATACACCTCAAAGGCTTTGACTGGTCTCTTACACTGACGGCCACCTTTAAGATAAGGTCAAATGTATATGTACTAGATGAGATGCTAACAGACAATGCCTGTTGTAATGACTGTTGTAATGCCTGTTGTTTGACACACAAAGTGCAACTATTGCAGTATAAACACAGCCACAGGGGAGCGTTTGTACCTGCCACGTAGAGTTTGTTGCCCAGCAGATGTGTGTTGGCATCGTAGCGTGGGGTCAACATTGGAGGAAGTAGTGCCCACACGTCCTTCCGCAGGTCATACTGCTGCAGGATGCTACGAGGGAGCAAGTCAGCACCCATTCCCCCGACGGCCAGAGCCCGACCATCTACATACGCACACACAATTTAAGTTTAGTCTGAGAAATATCCATCACAACATTCCAAAAAGAAATAACAAGTAATCAGCTTGTGAAAGACTAATCCCAGCTGGTGGAAACACCTCACCGGCACTGTATTTTATGGAGTGTTAAAAATCTGCTAGACTCCAGAGCTGGATGAGGAGTGAGCTCGTGTCGAGGCAAGAGAGTGTGACAGACAAGTGGAGGACGGGGAGGACAGCGAGTGCAGCAGCAGAATAAAAATGCAGAGTCCACGTCTGGCACTTTAGGATGACACCTCGAGAATAAGAATGGAAGTGAGGGTGTGAAACAAAAGAAACTAAAGCATTAATCATCAGACTCGAGAGAAATAGCTGCGGGGAAACAATCTGCATTTTTATTATGTTTTTTACTTTATCAATTTTTCATGTTTTTCATTATACAGGCGTTTCTTTTAAATTTTAACCTCAATGCATCTAAATTACATAAATAACAAAGGAGGGGGAAAAAATAGGTCTTTCCAAATAGGTTATATTAATTTGTGTGATGAAAAAGCTCATTACCTAAAGTTCATCATCTAATATCTGGAAAATAATGATCCTGCAAATGTCAATAAAATGACATACTTTAATCAATTCTGTGACTGACTATCCATTTAAAAATACCATATTTGTTTTAATTTGTCGCTATCGATCACTTTGTCAGACTATTTGTCTCTTTTTCAGCTGCTGGGGATGAGTTTGGGGATGAAACTACAAGCAAAGGGCTGAGGATCGAAGATTGGTCAGGGAGATGGAGAGAGTAGCATGATGAAGCCTATATGAGGCCAATAAGTGTGTGTGTATGCAGCATCTATCTGTGTTCCTGCAGACACTGACAAATGCACCACTGGACTGAATACAAAGTCATCCATGGCTGACGAGACGCTCTCTGAAAACACTGTTTATCTTTATAGACGGCTGGGTGAAATTCCACAATGTGAGAATTAATCAGAGCGTCAGAGCCCAAAAAACGGATCCACTGAAATCAAATTGGAAAACTTACCTGAAAAACTTTTAAGTTTAAAAACAAAGTGTAGCGTTTGAAGTGTTGTAGTTAGTTTAATGATAAAGGAACATTTAAAATACCACATGAGCAATAAAATCAATCTAAAAAGGGACAAACAGTAGTTTAGCGAGTTTGCAGTTACAAGCTACAATTAGGTATGTTTGTCCAAACTCATGTAATATGATGAAATATGAAAAAAGGATGGGACTAAGTATTCACTTCTTCCTCCTTTTCTGACATGATTTGTATGTTTTAAAAGTGTGTTGTTAGAGTTCACTGGGCCTTTTTCTTACTTGCATACATTGATATTTTCATTTTTATTTTATAGCATACATGTTTGAAATAAAAACCTAACCTAACCCTGAAAGTCTTTTATTGTAACTAAACAATTTAAATGGATTTAATAAAAAAGCAATACATGAATTAAGTTTTTATTTTTTGTTTGTTTTGACCTTGACCTCTGATATAACAACCAAATTGTGGAAGATACGATGAAATTGCTTCTGGTCTTTCCTGATAAATCCCTTTCACAAAATGTGAGATCACAGTAACCTCATCTTGTGACCTTTGACCACCAGAATCTAATAATTTCATCGTTGATTCCAAATGAATGTTCGTACTGAAGTTGTAGAGATTCACTCAAGGTGTTCCTGAGAAGCAGCCCAGGCCGTAGGAATAACAGTGATGAAGTGAAATTAGGAGCTGCACACAAAATGAAAACATGGTGCAGAGACAGCTCCCTGAACATGTTGGCAAACGAATATGTGAAGGAACATTGTACTTTGATGTAAAGTTTTAAAACTTCAGCGGTTTGCTTCTGAATATGCAGCTTGATGAGGTCTGCATCGTCATCATTTTCTCTTGCAATATGCTGGAGAACATTTATTATGAGCCTCTAGTGCACTGCATAAATCCGTGCATGCAGAACGTGCTGCATACTCCACAGTATACACTCTACAGCAGGGGTCAGTAATTAGGATCAGGCACGGTCCAGTATTTCTACATCAATCACTGAGAGTACAGCTTTGTACACTCACATCCACAGTTCATTCCCCATCGTCGGTTATTTGTGTACATGAGACAATACAGAGCAAGCTGAGGAATTAAAGCTGTGTTTAAATTCAGAGAAAGTCTATGGATTATATTATTCATAGGTACTATTCATATGTTCAGTAAATCAAATGTAATCTCAGCATCATGTTGTTTAAATAGCACAGTGTGCAGTGAGGAGCAGTAACAGTGGGTTACATGCCTCCTCTCACATGGGGGCTGTATTAGATGAATTGAGTTCAGATCTGTTGAGACACTCATCTTTGTCTTTTTACATTTATCTGGAGTAGATGTAGTGTAAACTTCCAAATATGTTGCTGCAGGGCCAGTTTTAGCCCGCAGGCTGCTGCTTATACATCTACTCTACACTATGGCCTCCAGTGTCTCTGCTGCCACCGGGTGCCCTAATCCTAACGTGGATGTGTTTTCTGTTCAGCTCTGACTACTGCAGCAGAAATGTCTTCCCTCTGGACAGGTCTGGACAAGTATATACTTCTTAATATATATATTTCGATGAATTCATGATAAAAGTAAAAGAAAAATGAAAATGTTCCCGGTTTAGATGTTAAAGTAATATTATGCAGGATTATATATAATATCTTTTATCTACAGCTGCTTTCAGATAGGCATTGGACTCTGGATAATCTCATGACATTCTCCAGAGGGGCTATACTGTATGTGAGAACCTCCAATGCCCAAGTTCGAGGCTGCAGAGTTTCTCTGACCAGCCCCCAAGAAAAGGTCAGGATGAGCCAATGTGAAAACAGAGCTTGAGATCCTTTTGAGATGTCAAAAGAGCTTTTGGTGATAAAGCATGACGCCTGTGTCGATGTGCTGTTCACAAAAAAAACAGCTGAATTTACACATTATGTCCTGCAACAGATCCAATCATGCGGACATCTTCTGGAGTTCGTGTCTTATAATACATTTTTAAGTATTTTTTATTTTGTTCTACTATTTCTCCTCCCACACACAGTTTTCATCCTTCATTCAGTCTCACTGAATAATACAACACGTCCTCTGCTGCCTTTACGAAATATATAACCAATAACAAAGTTCATGCTTAGGCTTGATTTTTCATGCATATTAAAGTAGAATGTGTTAAATACGCCACTTAATGGAATTCGACAGTGTGACTGGGTCGTGGACAGATCACTTCATTTCAAGTTGATGGAAAGAGAAAGTGTTTTTCCTCGGTCCTCTCTGGAGCTGTCCATTAATAATGATTTTTCAGTCATTATACATTAATATGAGATTTGCCCCAAACAGCTAATGCATTTTAACACACAACACCACCACGCTGCTGTCACACTAGAAGCCTCTGCTCTATGTTACAGTATTAGCTTGCAATCAGAACACTAATTATAAGCCCTCCTAGGTTTAGGTTAGGCTCCTGGGTATAGTGTGAACAGTTATTATGTTCTAATTCATACCTTTTACGGTGATGGAAATACCCATGAGGGCCTCGCGCAGAGCGCTCCTCTTCCTCCACCTCCCCTCCTCTATGTTGTACATCTCCACCACCTTTAGGGGGCTCTGGTCCTCACCCACTCCTCCCACCACCAGGATCTGCTTTCCAAGGACTGCCACAGCTGCCCCAGCACGAGGGGTGGGCATTGGGGGCAAACTCACCCAGCGGTCCCCCTGCAGACAGGAACATGGAGCTGCAGTCAGGCAAAGCAGTTCCATACAAACCCAAAGAAGATCAGAACATTTTAAGATATCTGGTTATATTTCAGTTACATCTTAGTTAAAAAGAAGAAAAACAAACAATAATGTGTGATATAGAGCGAAACAGTCACCACCCACGTTTCAGAAAATCTTCGTCAAAAGAGTTTTAAGTCTGGAAACAGGACGACCAGCTTTGAGATAAATCGTGAGTACGTAATTATTTTCAGAGTGAAGAAACTAAGCATCCCATAAACCATTGCAAATGATCCTTTTCCAACGATTTCCACCTCATTTCGTCTTGAGTTAAACCTTATAGAGTTTTTCACCTCACTGACTCTTTTCCTAAAAATCTCAAACCACAGCATGTTGGAGAGATCCGATAATAGCCGACATGATTATGGCGAGCTCGACCAATCAGTGCTCACATCTAACCTGAGGATTGTGGTTAGTGTATTATTTCTATTTGACATCTTGAACAAAACATGTTTTATTAAAAGTCAGTTGACATCATTCAGACTTTTGGCTTCTACAGGAGCATGCCACATTGTGAGTGTACACTTGGATGCTTGCAATAGGCTGATAATCAAATATCTATTCAGAGAAAGAATGGGATTTTCACTTCTAGAACCATGCTGCTGAGCTCTTTTACCAAGTACAGGTCATATTCCCAGTCACACATGTGTTGCACTCGATAATGATGACACACATGATGGAACAGAAGGTTTTCGATGATGTAGGAGTAAAACTTTTCTTCTTTTATTTGGTGCCCCTCTACAGAGCCAGGTTATGATTTATGAATCAGGCAGGTTTATGTCCAATTTAAATGGATATGTGACAGTATCTTCAGTGTCTTGAATAAACTATGATACATTGGTGAGGTGGAAATTGAAATGCAGCAACTGTACAGATAGTTCTCTATGACCCATTTTCAGTGCATTCACTTCAATAGGGAAAATTAGCATCATGTGTAAGTATCATGCGAACACATGTGAATGTGTCTTTATGTTGTGGCTTAAAGACCTTGGAAAAAATATAAATCACTGTTTGAATGTCTGTAGTGTTTTACAAGTTCATTGTTGCACTGAAATGACTTCTAACAGCACTTCTAAAAATGGAATATTAGACACAGTTTCCAGGTTGGATTTGTTCTGTACCTCAGGAGAATAGAGCTCCAGGCCGGGGCATGGCCTCCCCGCAGCGTCGCAGCCCCCCAGCATGTACATCTGCCCCCCCACCTCAGATAGAGTGTGGTAGACGCGGCCGCTGGGCAGTCGTGCGAGGTTCTGCCAGTGAAACTCATGGACTGAGGGCACCGCCATGGCCTCTGCACCCCCGGGACAGACCCACCGGAGAGGGGAGGGAACAGGGAGGAGGAGGAGGAGGAGGAGGAGGCTTGGAGTCCGAGAAGTTTTGGAGGTGGGTTGATCGAGGAGAGCTGAGAAGATTGAGGTGTGAGAGAACCGGAAGAATGTGGAGTCAGGGCCCCAGGGCGAAGAGGAAGTTCTTTATTGGAACGGTAAATCGAAGGTAAGCAGTGGGAGTGTTGGATCAGTTAAAGACCAAGCTGCACTCTCCTTCCCTGGGGACACTTCGCTGCACTCAAGCTGGGCCCTGGAGAAGATATGAGGTGAAATGACTTTAGCAGCATTTTAGTGAAGAGCTGCGTGTACATTTTCTCTTGAGTTACAAGGGTGGAGGTTTGCAGTAACCTATAAAATGATAACGTTCTAGGTTTACTCAAGTACTTTAATACAGTTTCAATACTTATACTACACTTTTGATTGCACCTCAACTATGAACTGTTATGCTGCAAAGATTATAGTTAAATCAATAACTTGATCAAAAGAGCAAGTAAATGGCAACTGATTGATCACTGAATTAATTAATCAATTTACCATTTTCTTGAAGCAGATATTTTGACTGTTTCTTACACCATACAAGTAAATGCATTGGTTTAGATTTGGGGGAAAATGTAAAGGACATTTTCACTATTTTCTGTGATTGTCCAAACCCCCAAAAACAAACATCTTAATATAGAAACCAAATGACAGATTATTTGATAATGAAAATTGTCATCAGTTGCATCCTCATCTACAATTACTATTAGTTTAACACAATGAGCATATATCATTCTATACCTCAATAATAGTTTTATATTTTATCATTTATTATTATTATTATTATTATTATTATTTATTTATTTAGTTTAGTTCATGGGGAAAAGTATATTGCATGTGCCACTGCAACACAGCTTTTGCCCTGCCCTATATGGGCATATAAACATATTTAATTCAACAAGATAATGCATACAATGACACGATAAAATGATCATACGATCATAAGATCATTCATGTCTAAATCACAGGTCTCTTTTTAAAAACAGTTTCAACTTGAATTCAAAAGATTCTGCACATGGATTCCCAAACAGGACTAGATGATGACACATGAAAGAATTTACAAAAATGAATGAAATGAGAATTTGTCATACTGATGGTTGTTTGGAAACTCTAAACTGCAGTATGAATGTGAGTGAACATGGTTGTTTGTCTCTGTCTGTTGGCCCTGTGATAAAATAATGACCTGATCCAGCTCCGCTCCACCACCCTCATAGGCTAAGCTGGATGGATAGATGGATACGGATCATATAAAAAATGTATTGGCAGGAAAACAAAGGAGAGTAAACACTTTTACATTTACATTGATTTGAGGAATCTATGAAACATCTCCACCTTAATTATTATTTAAGTCCAGCACAGCTCACTTAACTGAAACTGCTAATATTATGTGTATGACAATGCACCCCCAATTACATGTGAATATCCACTTGTTATGTTACTGAGAGTTAATGTGTTTGCTTGGATTTAGAGTCATCAACAAATGTGGCAGGTTTACATGTGTCTAATTAAAAGGAAGCATCCAGCCAGAGCTACACAACTCCTAATGTTCTCACTTAGAGAATAATACTAATTGTCACTGGATTGTCAGTGCTCCTCAGGAACACTTCTCGCTGTGTGGTGATCACAGTTTAGCCACCTTTCCTTGTAACTACATCACTCTACCTGTGTGCCCTGTGACTGAATCTAAGCCTCCTGCTCCTCCTCCTCGCTCCCCTCAGATGAGCAGCAGCTGTAATGTGGTGGAACTGAAGTGGCATCTCTCATCTTTAACTTTCTTTCCATGTTGTGATGTTTGGGCTCTGCTGTTGTTGTCTTTCTTTTTTTTTTTCCCTGAGTCACCCCTCAGGAGCTTTGGTTCCTGCATGTAACCCAGTTCTCTCCCGCCAGCGAGGAAAGAGGGAAGGAAGCATCCAGAATAGACCCACGATGCACTGCAAACCTATTTCTGACTGCATCACCTTAAACGCACCCAGTATGTAGACCTCATGTGTCACACAGGAAGGACTAACAGAAGTCAATACTGCCAAAGTCAGGTGTGTTTTCAGGAGGTTAATGGGAGAAGATTTAAGTGAAAATGTGACTGCTGTTAAATTACACAGCTGTGAATTCACAGTCTTTCAGCAGTTTATTCATCCAGTTTACCCCCCACATTCCAAACCTCCACCCCTTCCCCCTTTCCTCGATACCCCCCCCCCATTTCCCCATCTCCCTCATTTTACTGCCATGCTTTATCTACCTGTCATACCTTTGATCATCTCACAGACGGAGGAATAAAGCAGAGAGGGTGAAGATGAAGAGAGGACTGTCCTTCAAAATCAAACCTCCCCCATTTGAATGCGTGCGGGTAGGTTGCCAAGCAACAGTTAAGCTTTTCCCAGGAGCTGTCGCTTGTTTTTTTTTAATCTCTTTTGCACGATTGCTTATCGCTTGGTTTGCTGTTAATAATGGTTTATGAAAAAGGATGAAAAACAAATAAAAAAGCAGTCGCTCTCCGATAGGCTGACCCCGGCAGGCGTGCGCTTGCTAACGAGGCAGGATAGTTTTCTCCCGGCTCGACTCACAGAGTGCATTAATTGCAATCTGTAACCGATTTGGTTCGCCACATCGTTTTTTTTTTAATTAACTGCATGAACAGCTTGAGATCAACAGTAAGCCCACCAGCATCATCTAAAGTCATTTACAATCAGCATGCCTCCAACTTGAAACTTTTAATTAGGTTGCATAGTTAGTCTCCCTCCGCTCGCTCCGTGCAGGGACCTTCTTTAGATGTAAAGCCACAGAAAGCTTCATTCATTAAACGAAGCATAATGAAATGAATGTTAATTTCATATCATGTCTTATCACTGATTAGTGCCTTATCAAGCTTCCATCCAACTCTGAATGACAATAACCATGATTAATGACAAACAGGTTGTAGTGGAGGAGCAACATCTGAACTCAGTCTGCTGGTTCTCCTGCTCATGGACCTTAGATGCATGAATATGTAAATAGTGAGATTGCAAACGCTAACCTGAAGCCAAGACACAAATCCAACCAGTAATAACGTTTGATACAACAAATTGGAATATTTGAGACGACTAAACTGGATCCAACTACACTGCTATGTGAGTTAATCCCTTATTAATCAGACCTGGAAGGAAGAAATCCTGCATTACTCTTCCTGAGAAAAGACTCACAAGAGGGAATCAGATTGAATTAACGCTCACATTTATAGTCCCACATTATTCATTTTTCATCATGTTGTTTTCAGATGCAAGTCTTTACAGACACGTTCTTTAGCTGAAACATTATTGAATTAGTAAAATTGGAAGAATTTGTGGGTAAATCTGCCTATTGGTTTTTCACACTCAATTTCCCCCCATTTTCTAACCTCAGTGGAGTTCATGGAACAGTTTAGCATCAGAAGCCCGTCAGGACAAAGTCTGCTGCAGTCTTGTGATCTTCTCTCTAGAGTTAAAGGGCATCTGTCTTGAGGGTACTTCAGCAAGTGTGAAAAAAATGTTGGATAAAGTCTCCTGTGTCTCCTGAGGGAACGGCATGAATTCTGATAAATGTCTCAAGTTACTTAAGTAACTGTCAGCTTAGGCCCCCAAAAAAATCTTCTCTGCTGTAATGTAGAGGATCGTGGCCACATCAGTCATTACAATCTTATGGTAATAGGTAAGAACTGAACTTTCTGGTTCTGTTGCATCAATTCATAGCATTTGTTTTAAAACTGCCCACCATGAGTTAGATAATATTATTATAATAAAAAACTTAATTACTGGCTCTTCTCATTTAACACATACATGAATATTATGTCTTATTAATCGACGATGACACGACTTAAAGGAGGTTGAGGCGCTGGGTGGTTAAAGCATTAAGCTGTAATGGCAGCATTGTACACATGTGTAAATATAAATGGACATTTCTAGTCAGGTGGTGGTCTGATGAGTTAGCCTATGGTTTGGAAGGAATGTAGCAGCTGATGCAAACAACAGACAGGAGGCTCCTTCAGTGCTAATACTGACTAACAGTGGTTGATCACGGATGGAGGCTTTGCTGCCATGTGGACAACAGTTTGCTGAAACAATTCTTTCTTCCACTTGTTAAATATGCCATCACATTTTTCAGATGTTCACCATCTGCTGCTATTTTTTCCATCTACACTAAAAGAACATTTTGTCCTCACATGGTTGCTACCATGATACAACATGATGTGAGCACAGTGCAGGTATGACAAAGAGCACATCATAAATATTCAAAAACAATTTAAATACCATTAATATGCAGCTGATGTGTCTCACTCGCACCTGTAGTTAGGTTCATTTGGTCCGGACCAAGGACTTTGCAACAGGCTGCAGTTTCAGCTGCTCAATTTTTTGTACTGATCAGGGATTCACGTGTACAATGGCTACCATAAGTTATTAGACCGCTTCTTCACAGTTAACAGTTCACAGCCAAAAAATAAGAAAACTTGCTTGAAATTAGGCTAAAATAACCAAATAAACTATGGATGGTCTCTCTGGCTTCACAGCACAAATGAACCCCACTACCAAGCAAACCACTTTCTCAAGTGATCTTGGTTCAGTTGTTTGGTCTGAACCAGAATTTTATTGAATACATCAGCTCAAACTGTACTAACCAGGCAAACCACAATGCAGAACCAAACTTTTAGCTATAAAAGAACCATTATTCAGGCCATTCAATCTCCTTTAAAGGTGTCCATCCATGACCTGCAACACAAACACAGTGGAGGACAGACCGAGAGGACACAGTCTTACTCTGTTGGAAAATTATACAACCGGTTAGCCTATATACACACATCTAGGTCGTTACCATGGCAGCCAGTGCAGATGGTTGCTTGAATCTGACATGATCAAAGAATCTGGGAAGAGAGATCTATATATTAGAGTTCAAAAACATGATTAGTCTAATGAACGGAATATTCCACAAGAACAACTATTGTTGCTGTTGAGTTTTACACTGAACAAAAATCCTGCACTAAATATGCAACGTTTGAAAGACATTGATATTTACCATCCAGAAGGTGTCTATTGAGAGACCTACTGAGTGGTATTATGAGAAATGTAGGACCCAGAATTTTAGACAATATAGAATATAGACAGTGTCTCTTGTCCCCTGCTGATTAAATCTGATCTCATCTTTTTATGTAATTTCTTATAAATCTTCCAACTTAGTGGAAGTACAGTTTTAAAAATGCTAGACTAACCC